TCAGGTAAAAAGAAGTACTTCACATAACGTATAGTTCAACTATGGAATTTGCTGCCATAGGAAGTGGTAATGGCTGCCAGTCTGGATGGCTTTAAAAGGGGATTCGACAGCTTCATGGCTATCCGTGACTGGCCAAGTGCTTCCTCCTTCATCAGAGGTGGCCTGCCTGCATACACCAGTTGCTGGGGAGTTTGGGCAGGAGGAGGTCTTGCACCCATCGTACCTGAGGAATTCCATGGACAGCTGGCTTCCCACTGTGTGTACAGAGCACTTGATTAGATGGATATTTGGTTGACCCAACATAGTTTTTCTTACTTTCTTATATCTGGAACTCCCAGCATTCTTATTGGCCTTGCCAGGTGGCCCTGATGGGTGCTGGAGGCCAAAACAGCTGCCAGGTACTAGGTTGGTTAACACTATTCTAGAAAATGCTTAAAATCCAGGGCCAGTGAGGTGTGGTGCTCAGGTGTACAGGACAAGAAACATGCACACATTTACTTATGTTCTGAAGTGTGTGTGCACATTTAAAGGACCCTGTTTCCAAAGGAGACCTTGTTTGCAAAAAGGTGTCTATAGTCAGAATAGAGAGGGACATTTGGAGGAAAGAAACCCCAAAATCTCCATCAGAAATATTCTGGGTGGGGACTCAGGAGGTGAAGTACATGTGGGTAAAGAGCCCACCAAACCAGGGAAATCAGATGCAACAGAGATTGTCGGGCTCCTGTACGTTTATTTCCGCAAGTGACCATGGACAGCAGGGTGAATGGGCAGGTGGCATCTCTGAGATTTGGGTCTCCAAATGTAAGATTTGGGCTCAGACCTTAGCGGATCATTCCCTAACACCAACTCTGATAGAATCCTGTTTCCTGTCAGCTTAATTCGTCTGTCTGTTTCCATTTATTAAAAAGTGAATAACTCATTTTCCTTATGAAAAAGAACCCCAACAGTTATAAATACTGAATTGTAATATAAATTGTTCTTTTGCTTAATGTTGAATTTAAGTGGATGCAAATTGATTTCAAAATTTGTTTTGTAGTAAAAAAAAGCATTTTCTATGATGCTTTTGTGACAGACTCCTAGTCTCCATATCACTAAGGACATGGAATTGAAATAAATGCACATTCATCCTCCATTTACTCCTGTGTTCATCTCCCCCTTCTAATTGATCACTATAGTAGATGGACCTTTGGTCTGGTCCAGCAGTTCTTCTTATGTTCTGAGGAAAGGGATCCAGCCATTCTGCTCAGTCCTGGGGGCTGAGGGCACAAGTAGACAAAGCTGTGTGTGATGCCTGCAGCCACCCTGTGCATTCTGACTTTACCTGCTTGGTCCCCAACCTCTTTGCATTGCACAAGGAGAAAGAAAAGGCCATTCTACTCACATGGCCCTCCTCTTCAGATCTTGCCACGTTGGACACTGAAGGGGTGTTGCTCAGCACACACAGGGACGCTGGGGTCAGAGCTGGTAAACAGGACCCCATCCCCACCACACACACTCTGTCAGCTCCTCATGAGTTCAGGCAAATCAACACCCAAGATGGGACAAGTACCTTTAGGTAGGGAGTAGGGAAGGCTTAAGGATGGATCTCAAGCTGAAGGGAGTACTGAGCTTGGCGACTTGGTATTTCAATGTACTTGTTTGCTGAGTGAACAAAGTCCTCAATCCTTTTTCACCAAAGTTCTTTTGGTCGGTTGGGTACTAACTATAAAAATGAATTTTGAAGTATCTTCTTGTTTCAATTTCCAGTTTAAGGTCTAGACAGAAATCAGCAAACAGCTTTATGTGTGAAACTACTAAGAGCTATACAGATGTAACTATGTATGTTCAGACAGAAAAAAGCCCTATAATTCCCCACAATCTGCCCAACCATGCTGGTTTGGAGGGATACGGGGTATGATATGACTCTTTTCTATCTAAATAGATATAAGATTGCATCCTAAAAACTACCAATACTGCAAAAGATTAGACAATAGAAGAAACTGTAAAGTGACTGAGTGTGGACACCAAGGTGCTTCTTACACTGGTTGCTATTTATTCTGAGGCTTGTCCTGGTAGCGAGATGTGGCACACATGAAGATAAAATTGTTTCAGGGATTTTTCTTAACTGAGGAAGGGTGGTCTCTTAGCCCTACAAAGCTAATCCTAGTCATCTTAGGCAATACAGATCTAGACAGATCAGTAGTCTTAGCAAAATAAGATGGCTAGGGAGCACTATCTTTTGTTTGTCACTAAACAAGATACACTGGATCATGGAGAAAGCTAGGGAGTTCCAGAAAAATATCTACTTTGTTTCATTGACTACATAAAGCCTTTGATTCTGTGGATCACAAGAAATTGTGGCAAATTCTCAAAGAAATGGGAGTACCAGACCATCTTATTTGTCCCTTGAGAAACCTGTTTGTGGGTCAAGAAGCAACAGTTAGAACTGGACATGGAACAATTAATTGGTTCAAAATTGGGAAAGGAGTTTGGCAAGGCTGTGTATTGTCACCCTGCCTATTTAACTTATATGCAGAGTACATCACGTGAAAGGCTGGGTTAGATGAATCACAAGCTGGAATTAAGATTGCTGGGAGAAATATCAACAACCTCAGGGATGCAGACAATACCATTCTAATGGCAGAAAGTGAAGATGAACTAAATGGCCTCTTGATGAGAGTGAAAGAGGAGAGTGCAAAAGTTGGCTTGAAACTCAACATTAAGAAAACTAAGATCATGACATCTGGTCCTCTCACTTCCTGGCAAATAGATGGGGAAGAAATGGAAGGAGTGACAGATTTTATTTTCTTGGTCTCCAGGATCACTGCAGGTGGTGACTGCAGCCAAGAACAGAGACCACGATGAAGAAATTAAAAGACAATTGTTGCTTGGGAGGAAAGCTATGGCAAATCTAGACAGCATACCAAAAAGCAGAGATATCACCCTGCCGACAAAAGTTTGTATAGCTAAAGTTATGTTTTTACCAATTGTAATGTATGGCTGTGAGAGCTGGACCATCAGGAAGGCTGAGCCCTGAACAATTGACACTTTTGAATTGTGGTGTTGTAGAAGATTCTCAAGAGTTCCTTGGACTGCAAAGAAATAAAATCAGTCAATCCTAAAGGAAATCAACTCCGACTGTTCTTTAGAAGGACAGATACTAAAGCTGAAGCTCAAATACTCTGGCAATTTAATGAGAAGGAAGGACTCATTGGAAAAGACCCTGATGCTGGGAATGATTGAAGGCAAAAGGAGAAGGGGACGGCAAAGGTTGAGGTGGCTGGATGTGGTCACTGGAATGGTGGGCGCGGGATTGGATGGACTCTGGGGGATAGTGGAGGACAGGAGCACCTGGAGGAAAGTTGTCCATGGAGTCGTGAAGAGTTGGACATGACTTTGCGACTAAACAATAAACAACCAGTAACAGCCTATAAGCTATTTGAGACTTCTTTCCCCTCAAACTAGCAATGCTGCCCTTGTTCAGATGATAGTCACTGCTGAGTAGGTAAGGATGCAAACTGCTGCAGCTTAAACAAGCCATTGTGGTTTGTTTAGCCTACAATTCTCATCTGATCTAGGCCAAACTATCGTGTTAGAAAATACTTTTAAACCTGGCCTTCTCTGAAATAAATGTGAATCAGAGGCTGTGCATTATATATGCCATGTTTTGGACAAAGGAGTTAATATTACATTCATGCAAGATTTAAAGGAAACCATAACTTCTTTTGCGCCTCGAGTTTATTTTACACAAATGCCCATATTTTACTAATAATGGTTTGGTGCCCTCTTGTGGATAAGACTATTTGAGCGTAAAATATTTGAATAAAATTCACACGGATAGTGCAAAAGTCTTTTCAGGGATTAAAACTGCACTGAAGGACTCAGGATATGTCAGTGTATGCTGGGACAGGAAAGCAAATTCTCCCTCCCTCCCTCCCTCTCTCTCTCTCTCTCTCTCACACACACACACACACACACCCCTTCTGAAATTATTGAGGTCTGCTTTTAGCACCCAGGGACTTTAAATTCTCAAGTGAGGGTTTCATTCCCTCCAACCACTAAGCAAAATGACACAATTTGGCTTCAATTAACTTTTTAATCTTGTCACAACCTATCCATTAATATCTGGCTTTGCTACTATAAAGATGGTCATATTTCAGTTTATTTCTACTCTCTACCTCTGTAGGGACCTGTGTGTCTTAATTATATGATCTGATCTAATTGTTTTAACTTTTGTAACCTCTGCCTCTTATACCATCTGGTCTGATGAAGAATTGTGGTGAATTCAAATGCTTTTGTAGCATTTTGGCTGGTCTTAATAAAGGCATTGCTCAACTGTGAGTTTCCCCTGGATTTTTCATGCTTATACTCATAGACCAGTGTGGCTATTTTTCTTTGTCATGCTTTGAATCAGTGTAACTTATCCCCAGTTACTGCTGTTATGAATGTTCATTGTGCTTATTTTGTGTACATTTGCACAGAAATTTCATCACTGCTCTATTTGCATTTCATTACCATTTTAGATCTACATGCAGATCAAATCCTGCTACACATGCATTTCCAGGAACAGCACAGAGTCATGAAAATAGGAGGAGATTCAAGGGCATATCAGCCCCTGCAAAATCTGATACTGCAAGGGGATCTGTATGTGCAAGTTTGCATTTGTGCACTTATTTTCATTGTTGGACCAAGATGAAGAGCACCGTCAGTCGTCAGCAGAAAAACTGCTGGCAGAACAAAACCAGCTCAAAATCTGGGTAACCCTAAAACTAGTGAGACGATCCCTGGAATGATGGCTAAGTGCTTGCTTTTCTGTTAAGGAAAAACAGATAAAATGATTTTTTCATGTTTTCTGGTTTCCTGTGCAAAGCAGGGAAGCAAGTTTCTCACAGTGGTGGGGAAGGAGCGTGCATAATGTCAGTTTGAGTCAGGGGCAAAATAAACTGAGTTTGGTAAAATTCTGCAAACATTAGGAAGTGGAGGTCTTTTCATGTGAACAAACACAAAATGGCTTTCAATGATGCAATTTAAAAACAGATACCCAAAATTTCATGGGCCTGCATATTCACAATTTTATTCCAAAATATCTATTAAACACTTAAAATGCATAGTCTATTACAAGTAAATCATTTCAGAAATAAATATAAATACAATTTATATCTCCTTTATAGGTCTGACATCATGAATATTTGTTCTGTTTTGCATTTGATTAAAAAATTCTCTATCACAAGTTCTAATACTGTGTTGATACTTGTAAAATATATGAATAGTATTTACAAAAATACAAATGAAAAAATATGAAATTATATCTTTTTAACCAGGTGATACCTGGCTAAAACCCAAATATAAATAAATACACCTAAAATCATATAGTCATATTTATGTATTCATAGAAAGGCATTGCTTGGATTTTACAAGGCCTGCTGCAAAAGTAGGTTCAATTTCTCAGACTCTTCCTGTTGAGGTAGGGCCCATTTCTTCTTTACATATTTAATGTCTATTATTCCAGATTCTTTGGCCAGCACAATCCCTAGGAGACCATTGGGTTTTTCAGGCTCACCCAGAACAGCCATAGTTATAACCCTAAAGGAGGAAAAAGAGCTTTTGTTCAATAAAAGAGAGAGAGAGAAATGAGGACATGTACGTACACAATTAAACAATGAAACGGCAGATCTTCCTGTATTGTTTCAGGTAAGAGCAAGGTCTACATAGTTCCTCACCTCCTAGAATTGCCTCCCTAAGCTGTTATTCTGCTTGGTGAGATAGCACAGACCCCTCCATTGCCTGCTTTGCTGGGACCAGTTGCCTCTTGGCTCCCTGTTTATATCTCCCTGCTCACAGCAGGCGCTGAGTTAGAAAGTGGGGCAATTAAGGGGGACAGTGAGGGAATCGGTGGAATAGCGTGCCCTGCTGATTCTTCTGTCCTGCTGATTCTTGGCCTCCTGCCTACATGTGTGAGAGACTTCCCTCAGGTCCACATTTGGGAAGTGGAGGCATCAGCTGAGCAGCACAGTCCCCAAGTGGGCAGTACTGCCCAGCTAATTCACACGCATGGGGAGAGGGAGGAATTGGCTGAGTGGTGCTGCTCCACAAGTTAGGGACGATCTTTAGGGCAGAAGGCAGGCAGAGCAGGGATGCCTCTAAGAGCTGCACAAAGCTGCTCTCTGGATAGCCATTTGGCAAGAGCATCTGTATACTTTTGACCTCAGTACCACAATGAGTTGTGTTTTCCAAGTTCGGATGACACAACAAGCTAAGAAACCACCAAACAGAGCTTTGCTTTTGTTTGTGGTTTCTAAAGATCAAATGTACCAGGTTTTGTAAAAGTTTGGATAACATGACAGAGCAACAATAGTACAAAAAACAAAAAAACAAACCAGCATAGCTACGTGTTACTAGCTTGCAATCATAGCAGCTTCATTAACAGAATAACACATTATGTAAGTATTCCCCCTATAACATGCTACTGGAAGGAATGAGGTGGAGTGTAATACAATTCTCAAGAGTTCCTTGTAACAGGGTATGTAAGATCAGCTGACTCTGTAGCATTTGCTCATTGGAAGGGAGAAAAGCTATTCCTGCAATGAGCTATTTGCCAATGTAAAGGAAGAAAGGGGGGATTTCCTTTCTGGTGGCAAACATGATTACTTGGAATGTGCTTTTACCATGGAATAAAGAAGCAGAATATTTATAAAGATCAAAGTTTGACTGGATTTACTTAAAACGACAATTTTTATAAGGCAGAGTATTATGAACTTACTTATCTGACCAGATAGGTTGCTTGGCTACAGGTGACAAGTCATTTTCCAGAAGATCCCAAATGTACACAACTGACATTGCATCCAAAACAAAAAACACGGCAGGCCTGGTCAGAGCCCACTGGAGGGCAACTATGGCCTGTCCTGATGTGCTGTTGTTCCACTGCATCAGTGGAAACTCAGAAGTTATTTGGTGCAATCTTATACTCCCATCTGAACAGCCCACCTGAAAACGTTGAGAAAAAGTCTGTCATGATCACACCAAAAACACAAACAGCTCATCAATACACATAACTTTCTTACTCATTATTAACATCAAACAAGCGTTAAAGGGGAGACGCAGTTTGCCATTCACCAGCCACACGTAGCAACTGTCCACCAACAACCAGATGACTGGCAAACTGCAAGTAAACCTGAAATGTCCTCCTCCCAGTCTGCCTGCCAGATAGCCCTAGTAAGAAGAAGCAAGACTGGCATTTATCCCAGCCTTGCAATGGTTCCTACAATGGCAACATAGCACAACACCTGCCAGTTGTGTGAGTAGCTCACTTGTGCCTTAACAAGACAAGGAGCAGAGTAAGCAAGGATACCTGATCTTAGTTTCTACTTAGCTTCTGTTTGTAGCTGCATACAGAATTACTAGGAGACATAATTATGTTCTTGTTTTAGCTATCCCTCAGTGCAGAAATAAGCTTAGTAACACATTCAATGCTAATAATATAAAAGACGTGAAAGACAAATATCTGAGTAATAGGACTAGTGTTGCTTCACTGGAGTGGGAATGTTTAATGCTGCTTGTCAAACTCTGTATAGAAATCCAGCGGCATATCTATGGTATGTGTGGCCACGTATAATTCAAAGTAGAGATGTACCTCTGATTCAAGTGATACCCTGGCACTTTCTGACTATTTCTGCTGCTTCCCAAAGGGGGTGGGCTTCTCACTGAAATGATCTGAGCTGAACCTGAATCTTGTTCAAAGTCTCATTTGCCATTTGGCTTGAGAAAAGCAGACTGCGAACCCCTGCAAATAGTCTTTTGCTCATGCTTGCTTGCTTGCTTGCTTGCTCTCTCTCTCCCTACCTCTAAAAGCTCAGTGGGGGTTGAGCATTTCCTTCTAATTGCAGAGCACACTTTACCAGAGATTTAGGCTTACTCACTGTGCTTTGAGAAAGGGCAAGGATGAGACCATGAGATCCTCCCACTCCACCAGGCTTCACTATGACAGAAGCTTTAAACTAGGTTTTAATTATCATCCCTTAGCCCCTGCAGGTGTTCTGAAATGCTCCAAGTTTCTTGCCTGGGGACACTTGGAGGATGTGTGCTATTTCTGTAGAAATGGGCCAAAAAAGTACGTGGGAAGGGAAGGGGAAATGCATTATTCTTCCCCTGCCTGGTCCTGCACACACATACAATTTGAGGAATGGCCTTCTGAAAGTTGGCAAACTCAGTGCCCTTAGAAGGTGCATCCATCCCAGCAAATTATATCAAATTCAATCAAGAATGAGAGAGAATTGCATAGCACAAAAACACTGCACTTTTCCCAGAAATTTAGCACACCTAATCCCCTCTAACAAACAGGAGGAAAAGTTATAACTGTTTTTAAATGTCCCATAATAGTCAATGGGAGGCATAAAATTTTGGATTCCTAAATCTTGACTCAGATGCAGAATCCAAGTTGAAGTAGACGGCTTCTGAACTGGGCCATTTTCTAAAGTAACAAATCAGGGGCTGAACTGAATCTGGTGATTCATGCACAGTGCACCTTAGTTCAAAGCCAACTTTCAGATACTTTTACTTCTGTCTATGTTAGACAGTCCTGATAATTCTGACTGAAAAATGCAGAAGGGCATCCATACCAAAAATATTGGCTTTCCAAAAGGGGAGAAGTCTATTGTGTTCACTCTGGTTGATCTTGATCCCCCTTGCTGGGGCTTGAACCACCTGGGAGGTACTTTTAGTTCATGCCTTGTACCGTGACTCACTACAGCCTGTGGATTTAATGAAAAAGAAAAAAACCCCTCTCATTTCTGCTATATTAAATGAAAAATGATGAGAAACACATTAAACAGAGATACCATTTCTGTTCAGATTTCAAAATGCAACAATTTAATGTAAACCTGGCAGACGTGGAATAAAAGGAGAAATTCTCTTATGGGTCAGAAACTGATTAAGGAACAGAAAGTAGAGAACAGGAATGGATGATAAATTCTTCCAGCAAAAGCATGTAAACAGTGCACAAGTGTATAAACATATGCATGGAGTGGCAAAAGTGGGTATGAGGACTTTTTTTCTTTTTCAGTAACAGCAGTGGTGGTGGTGGTGGTGGTGGTGGTGGTGGTGGTGGTGGTGGTGGTGGTGAAGAAGAAGAAGAAGAAGAAGAAGAAGAAGAAGAAGAAGAAGAAGAAGAACAAGAAGAAGAAGAAGAAGAATCCAATTCAACAAAACTGATTGATAGGAGATTCAGGACAGATCAAAGGAATAACATCTTCGGACATTACACAGTTAAGCTGCGGAATTCACTATCACAAGATGATGTGATGGCCACCAACTTGAATGATTTTAAAAGGGGATTAGACATATTCATGGACTGTAAGACTATCGATGGCTACTAGTCCCAATGGCTATATGCCACCTCCAGCACCAGATGCAGTATTCCTATGTACACCCATCATGTCCTAACTTGCGAGTTTCCTGTGAGCAGCAAGTTGCCCACTGTGTAATGCTGCACTAGGCTGATCTTGGTACGGCTTGGTATGGCTTTTCTTATATTCTTAAATTTAGGGATGCTACTATTAGAAAGTTAATACCTTTGAATCTACAAAACTTAGAGAAAAGGAGACAACAGTGGAATTAAAATTAGGTTACTCACGACATCTGTTCCAACAACAAAATGATTAGGATTTGAAGGTAGAAATTTAATATTCAGTGTCTGGGGTACCATCATGGTGTCTTTTGGGGAAAAGCTGGGGAAATGCAAGGGTAACAGAGAGGAGAGAGAGAAACAGGTGAAATTTACAACAAAATGTTGCAGTATGTGCTGTTCCTGTTCAGTATTACAGCCAACTAGTCAGGTGTTCATCCATGGTACTTCATTCTGTTGCCCTGCCTGTTTCCCCACAACTTGAAAACATTCTGTAGGGATGAAGTACACTCAGTCCTCAATAAGCTGATGTAGGGAAGGGTTACTAACAATTTTTGCTCTCTCCAACTAGGAATTTCCCCAAGACTGTAGCTGCCTTCTTGTTTTTCAATGGTAGTATGGTCTCAGCCACAATCCTGCTGGTACTGTCGAAGTCCTTTATTACAGGGAATGATAAATAGGAATTCTTCTCCCAAAGTGGTTTGCTGTTACATTAAATAGAACAGAAAGCTCAGTCTGCTTTCAGGGTGAGTGAGAAATGGAATCTGCATCCATGGGTAGGATCTATAGGCAGCATAAACAGCTTCTTTACTTTGATGGAACAATGCAAACATCTGGCATGTGCACATTTTCTGCAGTACCAAGAATACTCAAATACAGAGATATTAGCAGAAATATTCTTGGTTTGTTTAGAGGGAACATTTACTTCAAGAAGAAGCACAGTATATTCTTACCTGCAGTTTAGCTGAACTTTAGAGCTATGAACCAACTTTATCTTCCCACCAGGAATTAAGCCTGAAAGTAATAAAACTCGACTGTAATAACAGTAATCCCAATAACCACAATCACAAATGAATAAAAGATTCTAGTTTTGTCCACCAAACAAACTTGGTAGATGTAGGATACCATCTCAATGCCTAGAATGACTCTATACAGAATCAATGTTTTAATATTATTTTAATATTTTAATTAAATATTGTATGCAGCTGTACAGCTGGCAGCCCAGAATAGCACCAAACATCACGGATTATAAATGAACTATTTTTGTTCTCCCTCATTCTGTAAACAGTTGGTTCAGGCTGGAAAAGAGGAGATTCCAAGGGGGGGTCTTTTGACAATATATAGGTATGTGAAGGGGTGTCATGCAGAGGTGGGTTGAGATCTGTTTTCCCCTGGGGTGGGGGGCAGGATGCATTACAATGGAACAAAGCTCAGGAAACCAAGGTTCAATTTGATTTCCAGGAAGTTCTTCCTGACAGTTAGGACCTCTAGAGTATGGAATGGGTTTCCATGGGAGGTGGTTGAAATCCCATCGGTGAGGGTGTTCAAGGATAGGCTGGACATGCACATGATAGGCATGTCATGAGTGGAGCTGGCTGGAGTCAGGGATCAAACTGGATGACTAGGAGCCCCCTTGTGACTCACTGTTTCTGTGTTTCTATGAATAGGCTTTACTTGCCTAAATCACTTTGTGAACCAGCCAAATCCCCTTTTTGAAGTTCCACTACTACCTAGAAAATAGAAAAAATTAACATGTAAAGGGAGATATCACTGCAGATACTCTCTAATATTTACAATGCATGTTTCCATGTCTGTTTCCTAATCCAGGGGTGGGGAACCTTTTTTCAGGCCACTAAATGAATTCCCCTCTGGCAAAAGACAAGAGGGTGTGACCAAAATGTGTTGTTTAACCATTTTAATCCTACTCAGGAGTAAGCAAGACAAACCTTTACATATGTGCTCTCCATTTGTTAGCATATACTACTAAATTTCACAATGCAAAGTCATTGTAATTTAAGGTTTAATCTTTTCTGAGGCTATGCAAACCAAGAAAGTCTGCATAATAATGCTTGGCCTATTGATCTTCTCCCTGCATAACAATAGTTTGGCCCACTGACTTTGGAGCTGGGGGAAGCCAACTGCCCCACATTACAGATTGAGGGCTATACAGAGATGGTGTGATGGAATGATGGCCATCCCTAATCTGATTGGCTGAAGGATTCTGACTGGAGCAAATGTTGGGGCTGTTGAGAGGGTGGCATTTGACTAGAGAGTTATGCTTGAGGAAGAGTTGTCAAGAGAAGTCTTTATGAGAGACTAGTAGCCTAAGGGAGAGATTAGCCAGGAAGGGGATCAGTTGCAAGGCCAAGAGGTCAGTCTGAGAGCACATCAGCAGAAGCTGAAGGAGCCAGAGCAGAAGGTTCCTGGAACACCATTAAGAGAAAAGATTTTATACTAGTTGCAGTAATCTGAAGACAGAAAAGTTGCTTGATCAAACTGCATTCTTCAACCAAACCTGGTGAAAAGGTTCAGCCAAATTCAACCAAATCAATTCTTCAACCAAACCTGATAGTCAAACTCTGCTAAAGAACTGGGGTGCAGCTTAACAGGGGAAGCCTGGATTTAGTTAGGGTTAGGAACTAAAACTTCTAACACTTGGTTACTAGCAACAGTTGTGTATCAGTAATACACTAAAGTAATAATATAGAAACCTAGTTTGTAAAGTAACAGAAATCTTAAGCAATAAGCTTTCCAAGAAAATTGGGCAGAAGCACCTTCTGAGAATGGAATCCTTCCATCCATGGATATCAGATCTTACCCTTTATTTTAAACATTTGTGTAAGGCCTTCCTAAAAGAGCCAAGATGGATCGTAATGTAGGAAAATGTTTTATCCCTTCAATGAAAATGCCTGGTTACTGCACAATAAATGAGCAACTATTATCAAGAGACCACGACTCACCCATAAACTGAGAGTCCCATTTTCATCCATCGAGGCAATCTGAAATGAGAGTCCTAACATTTCTGCAGAGGAGAAAGTGGGGAAGTGTACATTTGCACAAACTGTGGTCTTATTTAATTTTGTCCACGTAATAAAATGTAGACAAACTAATATATAAGACCTATAAAACTGACTCATGCAATGCCATACAGAAAAATATCCACTCCCCCTCCCACACCCATAATTTGATCATTAAGTTTGTATGTTGTCTTTCCACCAATCCAGGGTCCTCAAGAAACAATTTAAAATACCATGATATATCATTGTGCAATAAAACCTCAAAACAAAATATAGTAAAATGAATGTTATGACATTTCACAGCAGGCCAAGGTTCAGCTGACTGGTCTGCCATGTCAAAAGTTCTATGGAATAACAAGGTCTTGAACTGATCCCTGAAAGACACTGATGAGAGAGTCTTTTGGCAAGGAATTCCACAAAAGCATTAACAGTAGGCAAATGCAACCCTTCTAAAGTTTATTGATTTCTGGAGCATAGTCCACGTACCTTCACTTGATGAGAGATAGGAGAGACCACAATTCTGCTCCTTGCAGACAGATGTTGAGACAGATTCAACTGTCAATACCGGGCATGTGTGGTTTACTGAGGTGAATACTCCATCTGCGGTGGAGGAAAAAAATAAAATCTTGTTCATCAGGGCTGGTCCAAGACATTTTGCTGCCTGGGATAAAGAACAAGATGGGACAACTGCTTCACTTTCAATACTGAAGCCAGCTTCACGGGGGTCAAATATCCTGAACTCCTTCACCACACCTGAAAGCAACAAACTAGTTTAGAGCTTGCAAGATGTGCTCTTTGGTGCACGGGAGAGGGAGAAGAATACTTGGGCAAGCTCAGAAGGAATGTTTGAGAGGTTGTTATTGCATGCCATCTGAAGCAGTGCTTCAGCTTGCCCAGTGACAGGGCTGGAACCCGACTGTGCGAAATATTGTAACTAACCACCCCCAGTCGTAAATTATTCAGGCCTGCTGTAGCTGGCTAATTTCGGTTATTTTAAATCATACTTCTTTTATCAGATATAGTGACAGAAAAAGTTCACTAAATAGAAATCAATGTTCTTTGAAACAGAAAGCACCATGTCCAATGCATTTCAAGTTGTGGTGATCATATCAGAGAGCAGAATTAACTTTAATTTCTCTAGCAGAGGATTCTGTTCATCACAAAGAAATGCACTTCTCTCTTTTGGAAATTATATTTAAAAATAATTGTTTATATTAGTCTCCAAGAACCTCAACCTAAAACATGTCAGACTTGGTATTTTTTAAATATTTATTTATTTCATACATTTCTACCCCATCCTATTGCTTCAAGCACTCAGACCCTCAGGATGGCTTACATAGAAACATTTTGATACCCTCTTGTGTATGTTTATTCAGAAGTAAGTCCTCTTAAGTTGAATGGGGCTTACTGTAAGGTAAGAACTGCTATCTTACTGAACTTTTATCAGCCAACTTTAATTATAGGCAGTTCCTGGGTTAACAAATCCCAAATTCCATTCAGGAGAAAACAGAAATTAGTCTTTAAAACAAATTTGAATGTAAGTCAGATCACATATAGTTGGCCTTCCACATTTTCAGGGGTTGGGGTGCAGGAGTCCCATGAAAGTGGAAAAACTGTGACTATCTCTAGCCCCCTCCCCAAACTCATCAGCACCTCCTCTTTGCAGCAAGGAATGTTGGAGAGACTTGGATGCCTCCCTTTCTCCCCTTTTGCTTCCTCTCCCTATGGTGATCCTTTGGAGGTCTTCTCTCTCTCTCTCTCTCTATGGTGATGGCGATTTTCTGCAGTAATTTTTTAAAAATTAACAGGCTGTAGGGCAGTTCATTTGTAAGTACAGGTTGCTTGAAATTGCACATTTGTAACTCCAGGATTTACATGCACATGATTTATCTTATTACTGCACAGGGCACACACATTTTGCACAAACGCCCAAAATAACTTGAAAACGTTTCCATTTTTCGAGTGCTTTTGAGTTGTTTTTATCCTTTTCATATTTTGTAAACTGTTTTAAGGAACTCCTTTTCTGGAAGGGAAAAGTACATGTGGATAAATAAATCCAACTCTTCTATTCTATGATTCTATGAAATAAATATGTATAAAATATCCATATTATTATAATATTATGATACTGCCCTATCAGGTCATAACAGATGTGATATAATTTACAGATCTACTGACCAGTAGAAAATGTTGGAGATCTAAATGTCCAGTCTGTGTCATTGACCTTCAGGCAGTGGTGCATCCTTGCATGTTCCCTGAGATCCCATACCAGCACTGAACCATCCACTGTTCCAGCAAACACTAGTGTAGCTTTACTAGGACTAAAGCAGCAGCATGTCACCTGTAGGGCAGGACAAAGTATCCTATAATCACAAATTTAAAAATGGAAATATTTCTGTTGCATATACAGTTTTCCTTAAAGACTGACAGGCCCAATTAAATTATTCTGGTTTTACAGAATTCTAAATTAACAGGAAGAAAGAACTCAATACAGAAGCTTCCTATCATTTCACTAGTGGCATATTTGACATTAGCACCACCCCAGTGATAGCCATACAAGCATCAAGTCAATAGATCCAAGATGCAGCAGGAGTGCATAACCTGAAGCCCTTGCGATGTCACCTGCCTACATGCTGTAGTGTAGGCCCTTGGCTGATATACAGCAAAGCTACAGCAGAAAAATATTGTAACTGTGTACCCATCATCATACACTTTTAAAACCCTAGATAAATATGATGCAAAGCAATCTCTCATTTCCAATGTAGTATGGGTAAGGACAGGAGAATCAGACTGAGTCTGCATTAAGAACTGGAAAGAACCTTTACTTTTTTCCAGATCTGAAACAGAACAGGAGCCATTATTTGAACATTTCTGCTGAAACTGAAATCCCCAAAACAAAAACAGACAGACACAACTTATGAGTACAGAATAAAGGTCTGACCAAAAATACCTGATGTGATACACTAGGTGGTCCATGGTTATGAACTAGAATAAGCACACAGAAAAAAATCAGCATCTAGGAAGATTGATATATTTTGCCCAGGCTTCAACATCTGTGCGAAGGCTGGACCTGGAAAGCATCAGGCAGGAGCTAGACTAGAGACTTGCTTTCTCTGTTAAGCAGTAAATCTGTGGGAAATGTCAAGGCAATAGTCACATCAGCCATATTAAGCAGGCTTAGTTAAAATGGCTGTTTGAGCCAATGTTTTCTTTTGGCCTATCACTAGCAGGAAGTTGGACCTGATGAAGAGGAAACATTACAAGAAACATACTTGCTCTCAGACAGGCAAAAGCCACAGCAGACAAGCTGGGAAATTTCTATAGTAGTCCAGATGCAAAAATATGCTGCAAATATGAATACTTATGAGGAGGTGGGATTAAAAGAAAACAGCAGCCAACCAGTATAGCAAGCAATCACATCATGTCTCAGGTTTAAATATAAAGCTACAAATGTAAAAAGAAGATACTGAGTAGGTTGTTCTCCATGGGGAATAATCTGTGTTGGCAGAAATCCAAACTGGTAATGCATACACTGTGCTTTGTCTTGTTTTCTTTCCGCATTGCAACAGTGATCAGCAAAAATCATTGAAACAATTTATTTTCATCATTGTCATAAATACACTTGCTTGGTGTTAATGAATGTTTACAATAAAGTCTATGAGATTCTATTTATAAAGCAACTACACAAAATGCCTGAACTCTTAGCATCAGGAAAAGCACATATCTATGAACTCAGATACTAGAAGAAGTATCAACATTTAATATCCATACATTCTGTATCCATAAATATCATAGCAGACTGGAAAGATGTTGTAAGCTGTATGTTGACCAAATTCCATTCAGGGGGAGCAAGCCTCCAGTTCAACCCGTACATAATGCTTCCAAAACCTAGCCCTTAAAGATGAGCTATAGTACAGTATAGAAGGCTGCATAAACCCAAAATGTATAAATCCTTCCCGATACTGTTTTCAATGGGTGTTCTTATTCTGATTCTGGTGGTGCCAGAGAATTCTGTTCCATTTCAACAGAGATTTTCAGATAATGGTTCAGATAAGCGGAAAAAATCAAGGTTTGTTTCTGTTTAACAATCAGGTACAGGCTTGGTTTGACTCCCTTCATATATTGTAAATAATGCATACCTGTGATTCACAAAATAATAATTTCTGAGGACTAGAAGGTTGCCATACATTCCACACACAAATGATGTATTTGCTGTCCAGTACTGGGTGACCTGATGTGTCAGGTAATCCATGAACAGATAGTAGAGCCTGCCTCTGAGCTTGTGAGATGTGCAAACAGGAAACTTTTCGACCTAAGCAGAAAACCCCCAAAATTATCAGTTACATTATTTTTTTAATAATTACAAGATCACCCAAATTTTTCTCTTTTCAGTTAGGGAGCAGGCATGGTAGTACAGGGATGCTCTGATTTTGACTGGAGCAGAAGCACTAGTGAAATTGGAAATTAATTCATTCTAAATCTCCCTTGTTCCCTGAAGTTGCTATTTCCCCTGCTGGGGAAAACATACAGGAACTTGGAGGCATTTATACTCCTGCTGCCTGCAAACAGCCTGAAGAAAAATGCACTGGGAGGAAAGATCCATGTCTGAAATCAAACCATAAAGATAACATTTATTGTACATGAAGCTGAGCTCTGGAGGACTCCCCACTGCACAGGCAACTGAAGGTAAATCTAAAGGGGTGGCTCCTATGAGATATGAATACCATCAAGCAAGTCAGATTTCCTGGTTATCCATTTGCTTCATTCCTTCATACTTTCTTTGCAGATGTAGACCAAAAGACTCTCACTCTACCTGCACTACTTTACAATTATAGCAGCAGTTTTCCTATGTGTATATTGTATATATTGCATGAAGACTCCATTATTTTTAGCTGTTTCGCTCCTCAATACTACTGAAATGGGGAGTCTGAAGACAAAGTAAACAAGCTGAGTAAGTCATAACTAAAACTTACACTCAGGAAGTTTTGTGGGGAAAGGGCTATAAACCTGATTCCATGGCTTTAGTCTTGATTCAGTTCAAGGTGTAAGCATAAAAGGAGTAAAAAGGGGATCCAATCACATTGACCCACATCTCTTCCAATTTGGTCCTCCATTTATTAATAAAAAGAGACTGCAATGCAAGGTTTGCACCTTGTGTCTATCTGGAAAAACTACCAAATATGCATAGGCTTCAATCTGGTAGAGAGGAATCAAAAGAATGCAGAAGCACACAATGCAAGACTTACTAGCTGGATCAGACTGAGATCCATCTAACATTCTTTACCTGGCAGCAACCATCCAGGTAACTCTGGAAACTCACAAGCAGGATGTGCTTTTTCTACCTTTCATTCCCAGGATCTGATATTCAGGAGGCAGACTACACATTGCTTCAGATTGCAACTTTGATTAGTCATCAGCATGGCATCTAGTTATTTTTGCAAAACATTAGATATTCCTATTGTTTATTCAGGAAGGCTCTGGATCCCAGTAGGGAAAGTCTGCTTGTGGGCTTCCCCTAGGTACCTGGTTGGCCACTGTGGGAAGCAGAACGCTGGACTAGATACACCTTTGGTCTGTTCCAGCAGGGCTCTGCCTACAGTTTTATGAGATAAAATTACTTACCGTTCAGGAAAGGAAGATTGGTATTTAACTGGAAGCACCTATCGCTAATAGAAAGACTGGATGCTCGTGACCTTAGATTTCGTCTAGGCTGTGTGGCTACTCGATCCTCCTCAAGCAGAACTTCAATCACCTTTTGAAAATAATATATACAGAAATGTGGAGAGAAAAACTATAATTTCCTTCAGTTTCGATAGCCTTGTCCTAGAGTCTCAAAATAAGTAACTGGGCACAACACTTGAAACTCTCACCCCAACACAGTGACCACAGCGATAGTGGGATAGCGTATGTGTGCGCGCACAGGGCGGGGGGTCGTTCAATGCATGCAGAAAAGCTGCATTTGCAGAGGGGAGTTTTGCTTCATCGAATATCTATTTTGGCCTATTTAAGGAAAACCATCCTGTATACTGAACACTGGCAAGAATGGCATAACAATGCATGCATAGAAAAGTATTTCAAATTGTCATTCTATCTCTATTATGTAGCAAATATTTCAAGCTATGTTTATTATTACTGCAATAACAACACATTTTAAAAATATACCTGGCAAGCAGATCGCAGAAAATTTGCCAGTCTCTGGGAATCAATTTTTGGTGTAAGGACAGACATATCAGTGCTGCTTTTTGGACCTGAAATGGGATATAAAGTTACATATAAGGAGCAAAGCATCATAATTGTTGTCCTAGGAAACGCCATGTTACCCTGAACATGTTTAAATTTTGTGCTGTTGACACTATAGAGAATGACACAATAAAAGATGGAGATAGAAAGTGAGGGTTATCTTTCAAGGTTTTCTTCAGTTACATTGCCTTTAGAAGTCAATCCTATCAAGCTGGACATAAATCCCCAAACTCGGAGGCTCACGGATATCCAAAGCAGAACAGGAGAGGCAATCCTTGCCTTCTTGCCCTGAAATTCCCTACACAGGCTTTTTTAAAGCAATCTAGAAGGCGTGTTTTGTAGGAGGAGGGAAGGAGGCTAGGCCAGCTTTCCCAAGCTTTCCCAAGCCTTCCCAAACTTGGAGACGAGGCAGCCCAGTGCAGAGAACAGGCAGTGCCTATGAAGGCGGGGGGGGGGGGGTAGATGGATTTGGAACTCCAATTCTCACTTTCAAGGCTGGAATTCTGCCTCAAGTCACAAAACCCAGAATCCAAACTATCCTTTGGCACCTTGGACAATGTTTATAGATTTCTTTTCTTAATAACTGTGATACATTTAATACTAACCACCTCCAAACACAAGGGCAGTTTCTCCTGGATGTTGTGTCCATTTCTCTTGCGTCTCTATTTCCTCAGTCTGAACATCCCTTTCCAAATTATCCTCATTCCACTGAACATAGGCCTGAAGCAGAAAGGTGAAATTAGTGGTCAGAATTTCCTGCAAGCTCTAAAAATTTGTGCTTGTGCATCAGTTAAGACTTGGTTGTATGCCAACACATTTCTTAGTTCACACAACATTCAACATATTAAGTTATGTATATGAATATATTTAAATTTCTAGCCGTCCACACACATATATTTGCATAGATGTGTGTATTTCTTGGGAATCAAGAAGAGTCCTAACATTAATCTTGCTTTCTCATCTTGCTGAATTCCATGAAAATCTGGATCCCTGAATGATGCTTCTGGTCTTCTGGGATTTTAGTAAATGAAACAGAAGGCTGTTTTGTAGCTTTTGCTGTGTTTTCTCTAGGGATGCTAAATGGAAGCTGCTGACTAACAATTGCTACTGTTATCTCATGAAAATGGATAGCAGCATCCAAACATTACTGGACTGATAAATTCAATCAAGCACACAAACCAGAATCATTGGACATTCAAATGGGTGTTCAGAGGAAGTGCTGCACAGTGGGAAAGGGTTCCGACAAATCACTGGTCAGAGTTCAGACAGCGTCTAAAGTTAAAAGGATCATCCTGTACCACTGAAGTCTGATTTCATTTCAGTGAGATTATTTAACTGTTTCAAGACTGCACCAACTGTGAATGTTCTTCTGGCTGTAATTCTTATGTTAAAAATACTAGCAAAGGCAAGTACTGTATTTTTCTCTAGTTTTGTCTCATTTGCAACATACGCCTCATTGTCAGCTCTGTTAATGTTACAACTGAGGCAGTGTTTTACCTACCTTTGTCTAACTAAAGCAATGAATAGCAATTATTGTTTTGTTAAGAATTGTAAGCAACTAAAATAAGATTTGCTCCATACCTGCTTAGTATTTGTTTTCCCAAAGTTTCGAATATACATGTCATATTCATTCACTGGAGGCAGATCGAGCAAACAGAAGCTGACTGAAAAGTCGAGGTCAATAAGACGGAGAAGTTCAAAGCTACGTTTCCTTCAAAATATGTCACAATAGAGCAAAATAGCTAATCAGCACAGTTACATAGAAACATATAGCTACTATAAAATTTTTTGGCTCCTCAAGAATAGAGTTCAACACTGAGATACAAAACATGGAAGGGATGGTTTGTGTCTGTCATGCCACGGTACTTCAAGAAGAATCAAGCAAGGTGACTATATGCTTTCTGGATACGAAAAGTTTTCTTTCTGGAGACTTTAGAGCAGCTTGCTGTTGACACTAAGGGTTCTTTCATACCTTACACTGAGAGAAACCTGAATTTGCCACCAAGAATTTGATCAATAAAAATCCACAACAACTCATGGCTCTCTGACTTGTATCTTGTACAAAGCATCTATTTACAAAAACAGATGAGTTGCTTTTGTGCTTTGTATTTTGAGTGTATATTTAAAACATCCTGGGTGTTAAATGTTGTATTAAAAATGGCTCTGTGTTATATAGTAATAGAAAAAGGCAATAGCTAATACTAATTATCTACATACATATACAAACACACACACACACACTTCTGGAAGGAAACTCAGAACTATAAATCAGAATGTGGCCACTAGATCATTCTCAGAAAGCTGAAAATCAATAAGGATTTTTTTTCCATTTCCAAAAGAGACCTTGCAATAACTTCATGTTGTAGTAGAACCAGTCTTAAACCAGGAGCAAAAATGTTAAAACAGCCCCAAGTGTAACAAAGGGAAAATATAACAGCTTTGTTTCCTACTGGGGATATGCAAAACAAAGAAAAAGAATATATTAAAGACACAATACTGTCTCTGTATTTTACACATTGGCATTAGCCAAAATGATTACATCAGTCTGAGTTCCAAAACTATACAAACACATCTTGGATGCGATATATTCAATCAATTTAGATCTAGTACACATAAGTCCTGCAGTAAAATACTTTATTGCACTTTGTTAGACATACAGCATTTGTAACATTGTAAACACTATTGAAATGTTACATGCAAACCGCCTTGCAACAGTCCCAGGTAGTGATTTATTTTAATACCACCTACTTCTGCTGACTGGCCATTTTTCTGATACTCTGTCGCTGTTTGGCAGTCCGAAAATCAATGAACTTTCCAGAAACAGGGCTGTGAGCAGGAGAACCTTGCCTGTCTTTAAGATAAGGACATACATTAGTAATTATTTAAAATACAAGTTGATACACATGCTAAATATATATGAAAACATGCCTCATGAATTACAACAGAGCTTCCTGCCATCTTAGGATAACAGCCTGAGTGCCAATGCAAACCTACAAAAGGAGCGCCTAGGATTGTACTATCTTCTCCTCATGCAAATCTTCCCTACATGTGGAAATACCACAGTTGGGACAAAGGAACTAATCTAGTGTTGCCATTATTTGCTTGCTTTGCATGTAAGGGGACTTCCTGATGTGAGCAACCATTCAAATGTACAATCCTATACCTGCAGTCTGAACAGTAATGGGCAAAATAAGGTCCAGTGCAGTTGAGGATAAAAGTTGCAAATGACAATGAGGCTTCTGAGATTTCAGGGGGGCGGGAACTTATGTTGGTTCTCCGTCCTTGAATCTCAGAGGGCCACGAGGGACATGAGGATACAGAGTAGAAATGAGAAGCGGTGGCATTCTGAACAACAGTTTGGGGAAGAATCATGGCTCTCCTGGATTTGTGTGATTCCTACCAGTAGGGTTTCTCAAGAAATCCAGTTGTCTCAGAATAAACCTCAGTGAACTCAAAGGAACGTACTTTTAATTAGACTTGCATACAATTGCACAGTAACAGAGCAATCCTATGGCCCGTAGTTAGCTCCGAGGTCAAAAAAGAAGTGCAAACTCAGAGCTAAGGCTACACACTTGAAGCATCCTCCCTGTGCATGGAGACAATCACATGACTACATTTCGGTGGATGGAGCAACAACCTTGAAAGAGGAGTGAAGAGCGCATTCCAAGGGACAGGGAGGGAAGGAGAACCAGGACACAATATTTCATGGCTGCTCTTTAGTCTCCTTCCCTCCCACTTCAAAAACCCTCCACAAGGTGGCCAAATGAGCCGTCAATTGCAGGGTGGAAGGAGCATGTAGGCAATCTTCACCTTCACGTAGGCTCTTGCATGAGATGTCTGTACGTCTCTGAGTTCAGAGGCTCTGGACATTAGAAATAGTTGATCCATGTTCTGGTCATGGCTGATGCCTGCAACAGTCTGTATGAAGAGCTAGCTCACCAAATGATGTCTTCCTGCACATGTAGAATGACTGATGACAACCTTAAATTGTACCATCTGTTTACACCTAAATTGGGTTTCTCTCAAGGCGATCAAACCGGTCAGTCCTAGAGGAGATCAACCCTGACTGCTCTTTAGAAGGCCAGATCCTGAAGATGAAACTCAAATACTTTGGCCACCTAATGAGAAGGAAGGACTCCCTGGAGAAGAGCCTAATGCTGGGCACAATAGATGGCAAAAGAAGAAAGGGACGGCAGAGAATGAGGTGGCTAGATGGAGTCACTGAAGCAGTTGGCGTGAGTTTGATTGGACTCCGGGGGATGGTGGAGGACAGGAGGGCCTGGAGGAATGTTGTCCATGGGGTTGCGATGGGTCGGACATGACTTCGCGACTAACAAAACAACAACATGATTTTTAACCAAAACAAATCCTTTGTCACATACCCATTCTCACTTTCTTCTCACATTCTTTTGGGAGGAATTCCTTCTTTCCTTGCTTGGGAAATAAGGTCTCAATCTTTTCATTTTCAGCATTAATTGCTTTTTGAATTTCTTCTATTTCTGAGTTCTTGGCAATAGGAACTTTTCTTATTTTTTCTTCGGTTTCTCTGTCAGCCCTTTCTTGCTCCTGACTATTTTCATCCTCCTCACCATCTTCATCATCTACCTCATCAAAATCATCTTCATAATCCTTCAAAAAGAATAGTAGTAATTACTTTCTCTAAAATACAAATGAGTGGCCCAAAGTAAATCATTAATCTCTAATACTACAACTTTAAACCCTCCAAGTTTTCTCTTGTCACTGCAAAGTGCTTCAAAAGGTGGCTGTCATTCCAAAAATGAAGCATGGATCTCATATAGGTTGCATTTATGTGATCTACTCTAAGGAAACAGCATGCTCTTGATGGCTTACTTGCAACCTTAAGTAGATGTCTACATAGAGGACACACGGGCCTTTCATGGACATGGCTACGAGACCCACTAAAGTCAGAAAGAAGCCTTTTGGGAATGGTCAGAACTCAATTGTAGGGAACGTCCCAGGTTCAGTCCCAGGTAACTCTAGCTAAGGCTGGGAAGACACCTCTCTAAAGTCCTGGAGAAACACAGTGCAGTACGAGCCATCCTGCAACCTTCCTTCTTGCATCCCTATGATAATAGCTGTGGGCTTTTTTGCTTCTTGCTAGTATTCGCATGATGTGCTTGCAGAACTCTTAAGTGATTCTGAAGTAACTTCAATTAAAATGTCTCAGTGCTTGTGCTCTTTGGATGAGCTATGCTTATTTCACCTCTTAAGCCTCTTCAAAATATGTCTTTTTGCATTTACCTCAAAATCATCTTCATAGTTCACTGAATAATCAAAATTTGCATCTGAGTGAAATGGGTCCTTTTTCTGTTCCTAGCAAGAGAATTAAATCACAATGTAAATGTAAGTCTGAAAATATTTATGGAACTTGTTTTACAGAAAATATTATTTAGCACATCTGTGCTCATAGGAAAAAATATTGTTACATGAAGTCCTTACATTTGCTTCTTCTTCCTTTGATTGCCTGCTGTGAAATGGTCCCGCCGCTGTAAAGTCATCACCTTTGTGGGGCTAATATATCAATATATAAAACAACTAATAAGAGAAAAGCATTTCAATGTGGATGTGAACTTGACTAGATGAACTGAATATAAATATTTTAAAAAATTAAAACAACACAGTAATAAAAAAACCATACATATCAAACGGTTAAACAAAAAACCCCACCTACACTGGAAATTTCACAACACAAATCTCAAAACAGCAATTTCATAAGCTCTAGTTGAGCCCTAAATAATGTTTCTATTTGCCAATGGAAAACCAACAAGAAATACACACACTTGTATGCAGTCACTACGTTTGTGCCTTTGGGTATGCAACAAAAGAAGCCAGAAAGTTGTACTTAATTATAATTTGCTATTTCATCTTGAATCTGGAAAATGATGGTTTCCAAATAAACCAGACTTTGTTGATTTAAACCATGGTTTAAACATGGCTTATGAATCCTGGCTTAGTTGGAAGCCCTTAACAATAGTTCCCAGTTGGGATGCAACCGGAAATTATGATTTATAAGTGAATTATATTCACTTGCTCATACAAAGAGAAGAATGAAGTGGCTGTAAATGGATGTATATTCTGCTTTATTAAGCCAGGACTGCTATCTAAGCTAGACTAATGCATCTGCTTAAGACTTTTTATTATTTTTACAGAAACAGACTATGATGACTATCTCTTTAGATTCTGGAAAATCTCCCTCTTCTGGGTGAGGCAGGAATAACACCCACAACATAGTAGTGCCTAAGCTCAACCAGGAGAAAAACATCATATCTGTTTGTATTTGCTCTCAAAAAAGAAACAAACAAACAAACAAAAATATTCAGGGAAGATATCCAGATATCCAGCTACAGAAAGCAGAGAGAATACAGTATAATTTTCTTCTTGTTTTGAAGCTCAGACTCTCTTACTTAATCCATTGTGAAACCATTTTATTTGAATGCAGATTGACCAGCAGTTCCAAAAGATTTTTATCTGCTTGTACGCTGTTTATTTCAAACATGAAGTATGGTCATGATTCTATTCATGATGGAGTTGAGAACAAGATTTTCTCTACACTTCAGATCTTAAGTTAGCACAACACAGGGAATTAGATTGCATAATTTATCATCAATTAGTGCTCTCATGAGCTTAGTTTGCATGCATTTGAGCTTTACAAAGAAATGTCAGAGACTGTACTATTTCCATCTCATGGTCTTTTCACACCACTTTTTACATTTTGTTTCTGCATGAAGTTCAGCCTGAAAACAACATTCAAGCATCAGACGAAGTAAAAAAGCTTATGCTCCAATAAATCTGTTATTCTTTAAGGTTCTGTGTTTCCTGAAATAGACTTGACTACTATCCCAATAGAAGTTCCCTTAGACAAGTGATGGAGAACCTTTTGGAGACTAAGTACCCAAACCACAACAAAAACGCACTTGTTTTTTGCAAAGTACCAACACTACAATAAAAACAGAAAACTGAGGTTTAAGTTTGGAAAAAAAACCCTCACATCTAGACCGAGTAAAAAAAAAAATCTCTCTCTCTCTCTCTCCTTGGTAGCGCACTGATCAGCCATGCGAATGCTCAGACAATTCACAGCTAAAGAGGAGTGGCATGTGACATCATTGCCTGGCACCGCTACTCCGTTCAGAGAATTCGCATGACCCCTACGTGCGCAATGATACAATGCTCAGCTGCTGGGGTGATCTGGGGCAACTTGGCCCGCAAGCTGATAAGAGAGGGATCTGTGTGCCTAGTGTGGCACGCATAACAGAAGTTTGCAACCACTTGCCTAACCCTGCCCTGGTGCAAACCCATAACCCTAATACAAGAAAAAAGTTCCATTGAGAATAATGTGATTCTGAAATAGCCTTACTTGAGTAGCTTTTTCTGAACAGCTTATCCTATCTCCCCATTCAAAACACATTCCAACCATCAAGATGCCAGGACACCTCATATCTCTACCGCTAACCCTACTCTGGTGCAAACACCTAACCATAATATTGAGCAAAAATACCTTAGAAAATAATGCGATTTCAAAAAGGCCTTTTATGAGTAGCTTTTTCTGCCCAGCTCACCATTTCTGCCCATTCTAAAAACATTCCAACCAACAAATCATGCCAGGACTCCTCGTTTTTCTGACCCTAACCCTACCATGGTGCACACCCCTAACTCTAATAGAGGGTGAAAGTTCCATTGAAAATAATGCAATTTTGAAAAACCCCTCATTGAGTAGCTTTTTCTCCACAGCTCATCCTTTCTCCCCATTCTAAAAACATTCCAACCATCAAAATCATGCCAGGACCCCTCGTTTTTCTAACCCTAACCCTACCATGGTGCACATCCCTAACCCTAATAGAGTATGAAATTTCCATTGAAAGCAATGCAACTTTGAAAAAGCCCTCATTGAGTAGCTTTTTCTGCACAGCTCATCCTATCTCCCCATTCAAAACATATTCCAACCATCAAAATCATGGCGGGACACTTCGTTTCTCTAACCCTAACCTTATCCTGGTGCACACACCTAGCCCTAATATAAGGCTACAGTTACATTGAAAACAATGCAATTTTGAAAAAGTCCTCACTGAGTAGCTTTTTTTGCACAGCTCACCATTTCTGCCCATTCTCAAAACATTCCAAGCATCAAAATCATGCCAGGACCCCTCGTTTTTCTAACCCTAACCCAACCCTGGTGCACACCCCTAACCCTAATAGAGTATGAAAGTTCCACTGAAAAGAGAGCGATTTTGAAAAAGCCCTCATTAAGTAGCTTTTTCTGCACAGCTCATCCTATCTCCCCATTCAAAACACATTCCAACAATCAAAATCATGGCGGGACACCTTGTTTCTCTAACCCTAACCCGATCCTGGTGCACACCCCTAACCCTAATAGAGGGTGAAAGTTCCATTGAAAATAATGCAATTTTGAAAAACCCCTCATTGAGTAGCTTTTTCTCCACAGCTCATCCTTTCTCCCCATTCTAAAAACATGCCAACCATCAAAATCATGCCAGGACCCCTCGTTTTTCTAACCCTAACCCTACCATGGTGCACATCCCTAACCCTAATAGAGTATGAAAGTTCCATTGAAAACAATGCAATTTTGAAAAAACCCTCATTGAGTAGCTTTTTCTGCACAGCTCATCCTATCTCCCCATTCAAAACACATTCCAACCATCAAAATCATGCCAGGACCACTCGTTTTTCTAACCCTAACCCTATCCTGGTGCACACCCCTAAGATAGGGTGAAAGTTCTACTGAAAAGAGAGCGATTTTGAAAAAGCCTTCCTTGAGTAGTTTTTTCTGCACAGCTCACCATTTCTGCCCATTGTAAACGCATTCCAACCATCACAATCATGGCGGGACAGCTTGTTTCTCTCACCCTATCCCTACCATGGTGCACACCCCTAACCCTAATAGTGTGTGAAAGTTTCATTGAAAAGAGGACAATTTTGAAAAGGTCTTCCTTGAGCAGCTTTTTCTGCACAGCTCATCAATTCTGCCCATTCAAAACACATTCCAAGCATCAAAGTTATGGCAGGACACCTCGTTATTCTAACCCTAATCCTACCCTGGTACACAACCCTCACCGTAATAGACGGTGAAACTCTCACTGAAAAGACAACTATTTTGAAAAAGCCTTCCTTGAGTAGCTTTTTCAGCACAGCTCATCATTTCTGCCCATTCTAAACACATTCCAACCTTCAAAATCATGCCAGGACACCTCGTTTTTCTAATCCTCACCCTATCTTTGTGAACCTTTTCGAGACCGAGTTCCCAAACTGCAACCAAAAACCCACTTATTTATTGCAAAGTGCCAACACTGCATTAAAAGCTGAAAACAGCTAGTCCACGGAAATATATATATATTCTTGGCAGCACACTGACCAGCCATGCGAAAGCCTGGATGAGTTGCAGTAATGTGTCGTGGCTTGTGATGTCATCGCCTGGCACCACTATTCCTTTCTGAGCATGCACATGGCCCGTATGTGCACTGTTATCCAATCCTTGGCTGCTACGGTGATCCTGGGGCAACTTGGCTCCTGTGCCAACGGAGAGGGCTCTGCATGCCCGTTTTGGCACGCATGCCATTGGTTTGCCACCTTTGCCCTAGACTCTATGGTCATAATTACTCTATTGGTCTACTGACCCTTGGAGCCCTTGTTTTCCATAACCTCAATGGTATACTAGGTTCAGTTTTGAAATGTCTTGATGGATCAAAAAGATTTAAGATTAAACTATTTAGATTTAATTTTGTTATTGGGTGTCCACTCTGGAATGATGAACATCTGCTTTTTTACAAAAACAGCAACTAAACCAACTGTGGTTAGTTAGTTGCTAAATTATTTTTTGATGTATTTACTTTCATAAATAATTTCAAGCATTTTAAAATACTCCAGTGGAAGGGACTGGATTAGTAGTTTTTAGTAATATTTTTAATGCATGCTATAGTACTGGGCCATATTAATCCATGAAGACGTGTCTTAAGTTTATAATCTTATGTGTACTTATTTGGAAGTAAGGCCTATTGAACTCAGGGGAATAAACCTCCAACTGAGTACTTCCAAGTTCCATTAATTTAACCTGAAAGTACGTAACACTCCAACTGAAATCAACAGAATTATATGCCTTATATTGGCACTTGTTTCTTTTATTGTTCTCATCCTGTGTCTGATTCTTCTTTAGTTTGTTACCTGGCCTTACCACACTGTGGCCTTCTAATTCCTCATATAATAATATCTTACTTCTTGTTTCTTGTCCTCTCTTAAACTCTTGCTGTGTTTCTTTACCTTTTCCTTTTTACTCCTATAAGGAAAACAAATACACTGAATTAGGACTGTCTAGCAAGAAAATATTGTTTGCATGGAAAACATTGGTTTCAGGTGCTTTAAACCTTTGTGTACAAATTATGGAAGTGTATAAGTGATTTGTGCTTCATCTTTTCCTATTTCTATTTTAACATGAGCACCAAGATACTTTTCATCGCAACACTTTGTTCCTTTCTAATTTTTTAAACACAGAATTCACATAATTTTCATATTTGAAATTTCAAGGAACAATAAGTATATTTTAGTGTTTTCCCTGACAACAGGGCTAGGCAGAACAAAAAAGGAGATGGGAGAGAGTGGAAGCAGCATCATGTAATCCTGTGGCGGATTTTACTTTGTTTAAAACCCATGAAATGCAAAAAGATCTGAAAAAGAATCAGAAAGGAATCACCATATTATCCTCAGAAAGGGGAAAAGAACAATTCAGGCATGATCATCAAAATGATGCTGGTGTCTTGATTTTTTTTTTATTGCTGCAGTCCTGTACAGGACTAAGGCAGTATCTAGCAGTGCCATTCTGCTCACACAAAGTACATTGAACTAGTATTAGTGAATATAATAGGTTTACTGTGTAATCCCATTGCCTGCATTAATGCTATTGGCATTGTGCTAGAAGTCCCTTATGCTGGTGTGATATACTTTGCAGTAGCAGAATAGCAGCATTAGATACTGGTAATCATGTTGGAAAAATAAGATGCTTCCAAAACAAGATGAGCAAAGCAGAAGCCACTCAAACACACATGTTGCATTGCCTACTACAGACGGCAGGTAAGCATTCTGCCTTTGCATTGCCTTGGGAATAAACTTTAGAGACAAAGAAAACTAGGCACAGACAAATAAAGCAAACATTGCATTCCTATTATCCAGAAATAAGCCCCACTTTCCAACAAGGTTTATTCAATGTATGTTTGCAGCCAAAACAGCTCAAATATTTAAACAGAGCACACCTTTCATATGGACGATCTAATTCATCTTCATGCCTTGAGCTTTTCCCTTCACTTTTGTGTTCACTGTGCTGAAAAAAAATTATATCACTGCATTCAAAAGTAAAATCTTATCACTGTATTTAGCACTATCAGATATCCTCTTAGCTGGACAAATAGGAAAGCACTCTCATATATCAAAGTTTCTTACCATCTACTTCATTCTTATACTAGTTACAAACTATATATTGAGAAATGGCAATGACAAAAGCTACTTCTTATGTTGACTATATAGAATTCACATATTAGGAAAATAACAGAAACATGTCTGTACAGACTTTGATAATATACTCCTTTCTCTTAGTTATTTTTTAACAAATATGCAATATGTGAAGATGTTATAGGGATACATCAATGGCCTAGATCCCCAAAACATGTACACAAGCCCAAAAACAATGCTCTAATACATATAGAAATCACTGCAAATAAACCTGGAATACAGGCATGTGCCCATTGTATAACATGAAAAATATCCTCTATACTAGTTAAAGGCTATAATCCTATATGCACATCAAGCTCAAACACACATAGGATCAGATTGTATTGATCTAAGCTAATGCTGCTGTTACATGGGAAAATGAATTTTAAAGAGACATAATTAGCCAGATTTGAGAGAATATAGAAAGTTGTTTCACATTGACATTTTTATTGCTTTGTTCAGGTGAACTAATCCTGAATTAACTGAAAAATATTGATATGAACTGAGATCACAAAACAGGAAGCAGAAATATGTCTTGGAATTAATTATGCATTCACTTAAGATATAACAACAAACAATACTTTGCTGTTATGAGCATAACCCTGCATGAGGGGAGGTGTGGGCTTGCATGCTGCCCTCTTCTCCCTTTTTGCATTTGAGAAGACAAATGGAAAGCTAAACTACAACTTCCTGTACATTTAAATTCAGGAAACAGTCATTTATTCTAACTGTGGTTAGAGGCAACAAACTGTAATCAAACTGTGATTTAATACCCCGGCTTGTTTTAACAAACTATGGTTAGAAACATAGCAGTCCAAGCTCAGACATAACAAGAAACTGTGGTTTATACAAAAGTGAAAGTAGAAACTTTCATTCTTCTCCTCATGTATATGTACGGATAGAAGAGAACATGTGACCCTGAGCCTTGTGCTTTTAACAAGTTGACTGTTACATCTGTTTGTGTGCACCATGAAGCAGCAGTAAAGAAAGCAATGAATCTAGTTTGAGCTATGAAAATGGGGCTACGTTACATCACAAAAGAAGACTGTGCTTTGGGCATTCACATCAGATTATCTCAGCATTTGCAAATAGCAACTTCACAGATTTCTCTGCTAAAAAGGATGACCAAAAATATACTGCCATCCAAAATTCTTTGGAAGAAAAGGAGGTTACAAGTAGGATTAATATGTAATAATAAATGAATCCATTTATATACAAACTTTTTGTTCAACTATATACTGACTTTCAGTTTAATATCAGTAATTTCCTTTGTAGAAATCTATCATAAAATATTTTGTTTGAGCCAAAGTACTGCTTGATTTCTTTCATAGCTAATACTTGCACACTGTAGTTAATTAAAAAATCACACAGAACATCTTCATAGCCAATTTTTAGAAATTCCATATGATAAATTTTGTTAGGATTTAAAATCAATTTGAAGCAAACCTTATGGTCTCTCCTCTTTTTTTCACTGTTTTCTTTCTGTCGTTTTTCATTATTCTCCCTATGATGCTTTTCTTCATCATGAGTTCGGTCTTTATGTTTCCTAGTCGTATGTCCTTCTTCCCCATCCTTGACAGATGCTAGACTTCTTAATTGCATATACTTCTCTTTTCCTTCCGCAGCTGAAGGTCCATGTTCTTTCTTCTCTCTGTGCTTTCTCCTTCTGTCCTTCTCCGATTCTTCTTCCTTGTGTGTCTTGTGCCTGTATTCCCATTCTTCATCTCTGTTTGTGGAATCCTCTCCCACACTGTTCTTGCTTTCTTCCTTCTTAGAAAAACAAAAAACGGTTCAAAGAATTTTAATATATTGGGTTGGAGCCAGATTTAGTCATTCTTATCTTTTGTAATATTTGAGAGCTATGATCAATCTCTTCAAGAACAGATTTGCTATTAGGAAGCCATATTCAAAGTTTAACCTCATAATTGGAAAATTGCAATGTACAAAAAAGCAAAAGCTGGTACCAGTGGAATATTCTGGAAGGTATCTATGCAATGCCACTCAAATCCACGGTAAGGCACTCCAACGAAACAGCTTACAGGAAGGGTTGAACTGGTTCCAAAACCAAACAGCCAATTATATTTTCATGATAAACAGATTTCTGTATCCATAAAAACTGAATTACTTGTTTCAACACAATGGCTACTTGCATGTTGTTGTGTGCAAGTCCCTACTTGGATACTGTTAGTTTGGTACTGGAAATTTGCCTTTCATTTTCCCTTACATTGCTATGCAACAATTCCTACTGTATTCTTACCTTTTTTTCTGAATGTCTTCTTTCTCTTTCAACATCTTTTACTTTTGAGTGATCTAAAGTATAATCACATATACACAATTAAGGCATTAATCTTGGGTACACTTCAGCTCCTACTACATTACAGAGGAAGTAAATACAATGTGTGCTGTATTCTCTGCAAGAAGCAGCTCAGGTTCAAACTTCTTTTTAAAAAGGCATGCCTATATTGTGTATAAAAATTCCTGTATCTTCCAAGGATAATTATCAAAAATTTGGAAACAAATGTACATTACCTCTCTACACAGTTTAATTTTCAAGTTATCCCAATCTGTCTTCAAAATACATTCCACTCTCTTCAGCCCGGTTCACACACTAGCTGGTCCATACATGATGGCAAATAATACTGCATGGATACCATGGCTCACAATTTTTAGCATTATCTACCTAACAGATAATCAAGTGGTTTCTGTGTTATTGTGGTTTCCATTCTCCCCACTCAGTCCTTCTGCTATTGGCACATATCCCATCAGCCACTGCACCCGAAATTCAATTCCAAAGCGTGTCAGTTCCTATCTTGCCTGCCTCTTCCTCATTGGTCCCCAAATACAGGTAGGATGGCTGGAGTAACTCCAGCAGATATCACTCTTTACAGAGAACTCTGGTAGTTGCATACCAAGACTGTGTGGAAACCATGATCATGGGGTTAAACAACATATTAAGTCATGGTGGTTCTTTAGCAATGTGGGTCTGTTGTGTTGTCTGCATCCAGTCATGATATTGCACCAAAGAAAATTTCATCCTCAGAAACCCTGATAAGAAACAATGGTTTGTTTTACAGTTTCTCTGTTCCTCATTCTCTAGGCCAATAAGGAAGAGGCAAACAATATAGGCAGGGAGTGATGCACCCTGAGATTGAATTTCAGATGCAGTGGCTGATGAGGTAGGTGCCAAAAGTGAGGATGAAAACCATGATGGAGACCACTTGATCATCTATATGATAGATCAAGGTAAAAAAGACACAATCACACAGGGTAAAAAGCATGCCTGAAAAATGGTCATGGAGAGAGTGGGGGGTATTACAGCTAAACTTTCTGAATGAATATAAGCCTGGCTTTATAGTGTAAAAGACAGAACCTTCATTCACATTTCAGATGAACAAACGGAGCACTGAAAAGGTGCAGTGGGGGATTTCACTCGAAGTAGAAAGCATGAAGCTCTGAAAGCAACGTTGATGGTAAAAAAAACCCCAAAACACCTAAGTTCCTAGATGACTGAATCTGCTACCTTGTTAAGAAGGGCTAGTGTTAAAAGTAGGTGAAAAAGGAATATTAATCAGGGTTATTACTATGCATCCTGTGCGTAATACTCACCAGATTTTGCCCCAATCCAGGGAAGGCTACTACAACCCTGACACCAGTTCTGAATCACACCTGGATGCTGTGTACAGGAGCACAGCCACAGGAAGCCAGATGCCTAAGAATTCAGTTCTACCATGAGCCCCTTTAGCTTCTTACAAGCTGGACTAGGCAAGACTCAGGATGCTGATATGGTCTGTCTTCTATAGCCGGAAGACCTGACCTTGATGGAGGCCCTGGCTGCTTGACCAGGAATGCCTTCCATGGGAACAGGATAGCAGGGGGAGGAATCTGCAGGACAGTGGGTCTGGAATGTGTCCTATGATGTGTCGGGAACTGAAGAGACAGGAGTATCTAGCGAGGTGCAGCACATGAGCTAGGTTTCCCTGCCAGGACTGAGTATCTGATAGTGATCTGTAGTGGCAACTCCCCTGTATTTAATCAAGACTGGTCAACAGCAAAATTTGCTGGAAGCAATGGCATTTTAACCTAGAAGCTTCCTGGTCTTGCTGTTTAGATGGAACCATAAATTCTTTTGGATTTATTGTTGCATCCAAAGCTGCATCCAAAGCTGTTTCAGTCTTTTGCTGAGCTATGCATATATTGATCTTTGCCAAGGAACTCCACTTTGTTATATATGGCTCTTTATTGCGACTATAAAGGCTTGTAGCTAATTCATGGAATAACTATACTCAGGCCAGGTTTGCATGATCAGAGTGGAAAAAGAAGGCACAAGTCTTCTTTCCCCGTGCATACTGGTTGCACACCACCTACCCATCACACTCTTACCCGGTAAGGGGTCTCAAACGCAACTGACCTGGGGGCCGCTGGAAGTAGAGTCTGGGTGAGGCTGGGCCGCATCAAGTATTCCACCCCTGCGGTGGTGGGGGGCCGCTCGTCTCGCGTCGCTCCCGGAGGCGCTTTGAAGGCCGCAGGGCCCCTCCCCCGTGCCCCGCCCGTCCCGGCAATTGGCCCCCGGGCCGCGAGTTTGAGACCCCTGCCTTACCGGATACGGGTTGCCCTGCTGTCTGAATATGGAGGAAGGGGGTGCTTCAAAACCACTTCAAAATTCTAGAACAAGCCATGGGTTGCAAAATACTTTGGAAGAACAACCCGCTGCCATCCTCACTGGGTTTGGATGACATGGCAACCCATACCAAACAAGCATAATTACAGAAATGAGGCAACAGCAACCAGCACACGTGGAGTGGGAAATAGAAGCCACCATGGCTTCTTTTCCTTTCCTGATTGTGCAAACCCAGCCATGAAGGTTTACTGGATCTTGAACCTTGTGGTGGAAAGTCAGGATCTGACAAAAAATTGGTTTGGGCCCATTTTCATCACCATCTAACAGGATTCTCCAACTGGTAATTCTCTCTCTGACTTCTATTACAACTCCCACCACCTCCAGTCACTATGGGCATACTGAAGGGGCATCATGAGAGTTGTAGTCCAATAATACACAGATTTGGCTAGAGAAGGCCAACTTAAAGCTACTAAGAAGGTGACTTCAGAGCATGCAGTACACAAACCAACGCACTTGCATACTCCTTGCTGTCTCTTCTTCTATGTTCTTTATGCTTTTCCCCATAAGTTTCTCTATTATTTTGCACAAGCGTTTGACTGGGATCATCTTTCTTATGCTTCCTCTCTTTGTCTTTACCACTGTGCCTCTCTCCACTTTTTCTAGAGATGTGTCTTTCTTCTTTGGCATATTTTTCATGAGTCATCTTAATTTTCTCTCCCTCTTGTTCTTCAGAGTAATCTTTTCCCTTTCCTTTCTCTCTTCTTTCATCCTTATGTCTTTCACTTGATTTAAATCTCAGTTTTTCTCTTGTATTTTCTTTCAATTTTATTTTGTCCCTATCTTGATCCTTCCACAAACCCTCATTGTAGTCTTCTGTATCATTACTGTCTCCATCTCGTGGTTTTCTTTGTCGATGCCTCCTATCTTCAGATTGACTACCTGATCTAGATACCTGAAAAACAGACCAAGTATAACTTATTTTTATATACCAGTCCTGGGATATGAAATCCTCCATTTTACTTGTTATCCACAAACAGCAAAGACTTCTACAGGCAATGCTGAATTAAGGAATTCTATACCATAGTTTTCCATTTTGAAGAAACAAATTATGGCTTACATTTGCCCTAGTATAGCGGCAAGCCCCTATTTGCCTGTTCAGTTAAACAAAAATGGGGAATTACTTATGTGCAAGGAGATGAGGAAGAAAGCAAATAAGCCTGAAGTTTATTTACATAATGCCAGCCCATTGTTCTTCACTACTTGTGAATGGCCCCAGGGTCTAATGCCTTGTTTTTCCTTACAAGTGAAACTACTAACAAATATTCTATTTTTCTTATACTTTAGTAGTCCTGCCACATTTTTAATCAGAGGCTAAGGATATGGCCCACAAGCCACTGGCTGTGAAAGCATTTCATTTGGGGACAAAGAACCTACCACTGCTGGTAGGAAAATAAACAGCAGTGATTCTTATTGGTGGTGGTGGTATTATCATCATCATTATGATTATAACCACATCATCCAAGATCAAAAATATTGTTCCTTCAGTCTTGCAGGGAGGTGCTACAGCTTTCCTTTTCAATCCATGCACATCATCTTTAATAATCTACAGTTAGGGTGCAAGGAAAAGATGCAAATGTTAAATAAGAAATGATATTGTGGTGAAAGCTTTTCTGAGACCTGCTCCTACAACAAATGGAAGAGAATGGTGGGCAGAACCCTTAGTAAACATAGATAAAATTCAACATCATCCATCTGGGGTACCAAGTAAGTATTTACACTTTTATTGCAGACTTAAAATTTACTTTACTGGGACAAGTCCTTGACATCAGCCTTAAAACTTTACTATCCAGACGCCCTCTGTCAGACAGGCAGGCCCTTTAGATAGTTTCACTTCATGTTTCTCCTTGAGAAGACAGGGTCCGAAGGTCAGTGGTGCGAGGTCTCTATCTCTTCCACTCCTTTTCAATAGACTCCCTTTCTGGACAGGGAGACCTGTGTGGGAGACCTTGCTGGATGGTGCAATGTGGTGACATGATTCTGTAGGCTCTTCAGTCAGTAAAGCTAAATCTCATGTTGGGTGTAGGAGTTCCAAGCTGGGACAGCAATCAGCTGTTCTGGGTATTCCTTGGCTATTCCAATATTTTGCCAGGTAAGTAGCTCTCGCCCAAGTTCCTGTAGCCTATGTTCCTTTCTCTTCCTTTTGGGTTCAAGGTTCTGTGGGATCATTGCCTTGTGCTTGTTTGCCAGGTTCCACTGCAGCCTGCTCTGGGCTCTATTTATAAGGGCAATTTGTATACTCACAGCTGCAGCCAAATTTTCACCTTCTTCTAGCTGCAACTTTTCTTTCTGGCTGGCTGGATTTACACTCCGTTGGAATGTTTAAATTGTGCTGCCAGGGCATTTTTATCAAGGTAACCAAGTCAAACAGACCTGGTCATTCCTGGAAGCCTGCTATAGTTGTGTTACTATTCTTTCCTTTACTTAAAACATACTTGTGTATCCTCTTGAGAAGAACCTTAACCTAGTAATTTTAAATTTCAGTATAAAACTTAAATTCTTTCAAATGCCCACATTAACCTGGGTTTCTCTGAATGCTAATTTGGCTGAAATCCAAAGACCTGCATAATCAGTTTACTATATCTAGGTGGGAGTTTATGTTTCTTGATTTGAAACAGTAAGTGCACACACTACCTGGTAAACCATGCCTGGGAGGCATTTACCATTCATTTTCTGATCTTGTGCAGGGGTCTGCTATTCACAAAAACAAGTTAGGAATTCCACTAAGAATTTCCAGACTCTTGAGCAAACCAAAAAAGTAGCTGTGCAGATTTTGGCCAATGAATTTTCTATAAAATATTGAGCAAACTATTGTGATCACATATGGGGACATCATACCTTAAGATGCTTCTTTAGCTCATCTGATTTCCAAGTATCATCTTTGGTTCTTCTCTAGAAAACAAGACAAAAATGACAAGGCATTCTTAACTAGGGAATATATTAAGAGAAACAGGACCTGTAGAGGCAACTCATCTATATTTGAATGAACACTTATCCTTCAAACCTATCAGCACTCAGGGGACAGAAGTTATACATCCCAAACACAAAAAGAAGAGGGTTAGTTAGGACTGCAAAGACAAGTAGTGCAGACCTTAAACAAATGATAGTTGCTCAAACCAATGAAAGTAGATTGCTTCAAGGTGTGTGGCAGGTGACAAACCCACCAGAAATCTGTACAGAAAAGTTTTATGTGGGAAGAGGAGGAAGCTGTCTCAGCACCATACTGGGTTTGAATGGTGACAAGAGGGGTAGAGAAGGCAGCAATTAGTTGGCAGATTGGAGGTTTACTGTAGAACTTGAAGCATATACTGTAGATTAACCAGTAGATCTCCAGAATTTTAGACTCCCAGCATGTCTAACCATTGGCTATGCTGGCAGGGACTTCTGGGAACTGAAGTCTAAAAATACCTTTTGCCCACCCTGCTCAAGCTCTTGTACTGAAGATTAGCTGCTCCTTAAACCCTTTAATTGACTTGTCATACTCATACCCACAGCCATGTATGTCTGCCATCCTTTTGAATGCACACTTATGGGTGAAGTGGCAACCAGCAAGCTAAAGCCCTATGGGAATAAGCCCCATTGAACACAGTGGGCTGACGTCTGAGTAAACACATACAGGAGCAGACAAACAGCTTTGAAGCCTGATCCTAGTGCATATTTACTCAGAAGTCTTTCCAAGTTCAAATCAGAGTCACAGTTTGCCCTGTATGGAAAAACTCCCTGCCATCTCCGACTGAGAGGTAGCAAGCAGAGGATGTGAAAGCCCTCAGCCTGAGCCTCTGAAGCACCACTGCCAGTCAGAGCAATCAGTAATGGCTAGATTTGCTGAATCCGATGGAAGATAGGCATCTAACAACTTCTGGAATGCCAGTTTTCAATCTCTGGACTAACGGACAAATAATCTGACCTGACATGAACCATTTTGCTATGATCCTACGCATGCTTTCATAGGAGTAAGCATAATTAATCTCAGTGCGACTTTCTGAGTAGACCTATGTAAGTTAGTCATTGCGTCCGAGTGGTGCCAGGAGATGAATTGTTCTGGATTGTGTACAACCCAATCATGTGCAGTTTACTTATGAGTAAGTCCTACTACGAGGTTTACTATTAGGTATGTTGCAGCCTAAAACAGAATTACGTGACCAGAATTTTGTGCTGCTCTGCGTTGACAAGACAGAGCAGAGGGGGGCCTTTTCCATTCACATTCCTACACCCTTCCCCGTCCTCACAGGCTGACCGCTCACCTTATCGCCTTCCATAGCGAAGCGAAGTTGCTTTGAGGTTCAGCATGCCCGATCGCCACCCTGCCCTTACTTCGGGCTCTGGAAACTGCAGGCCGCAGCTGGGTTAGGGAACCTAGGCAACTGCGTTGAAATTCTACCCGGCAACAAGTCGGTAAGCGAGATCATAGCTGATAGGTGGAGCCGATCTCGAGGGCCAATCGAATGAAAGTTAGGATGTAGGAGGAAAGAGTAAGGGAGCAAAGGAATCTGGGAAATGTAGGCAAGCAGGCATAGGAGCGTCTTGGACTGTAAGGGAGAGGTTTGTGGAAATAGAACTTTCAGAGTGGACATCATTTTGAGAAACTCAAGAGAAAGAGAGTTGTAATTGACTGCTACAGCAAATAAAGAATGAGTCTTAAAGGTGCTGTCACAGAGACACTCTTCATCACTTTGAAGGGATAGATTCTTGTTTCCCATTAACATTTTTAGCTTTAAAATGAAGTGTTGTTCTATCTCCTGCAAAGCAAATATGCACATTTGTGCATTACAGTACTTCAGTGGGGTGGACTATTGCATTGTTTCCTACCTCACTCACGTTGGAAAACAACCCTTTGAACACAAGAGCTATGCGGTGCAGCTAGGACTGGACTTTGGGGTTCTGTGGCCTGGAGTCCCAAACTAAAGCACTCTACTGAAGCCCACTTGGTTCCAACTTTAGTATATTTTAAGCACCAGATTTAGACCAATCTCTTTCCTAAGACATTCACTAACTCCAAATAGCACATAATGGTGGGGGAATTGCCCACTGTTTTTTAGGAGTCCTACTGGTACAGACTCCACTGAATTAGTTAAAATGTGATTTAATTTTTAATGCAATTTTATATCTATGGATTGGCTTGCAACTTCTATTTGTCGATCTATTTTATTTTTTATTACTGAGGTCACAAAAGAATGAACCATGTAAGTATAGGGTTCCAAATAATTGTAGTCATAAAATGACTAGAAGGGCAGAGACTGAACATGTATTTGATATACCTAATATTTTCTTGTTTATGTATTTTTTTCTATACCTCCCAATGGCTGAAGCTCCCTGGGATGCAGATATTTGTGGCTTTCTGTTATGATTTTCAGAGTGGCTTATAATTGATAGATTTTATGGAGTCGGATGGCAAAAAGAGCAAATGAAAAAAACTGATCTTCTTGGAATTTGTATTCCTAGAACAGGCAGGCAACAATCTATTGTTGACATGCTGTCTGAGGATGAATTCTTTGAAGGTGCTGTGGCTCTGTTTTCTGTCTATTTGGGTTCAGTCCAAGATCTGCTGATAAATGGGGAGGGCTTGAAACACACGGCTGGCAATGGTGAGACGGGGAGCCATAATGCAATGGGGTGCAATCCATTCAACTCATTTGTTCAGTCTGAGTGCTGGAGAAAGCCCTGCAGGACACTAATGTGGATCAGGCGGCTACAGCTTCCTTGCTCCTCTCAGAATATCCTGAGTTCATAATGTGGCCCAACATGACACCTGTGCAAATCTTTTAGGCAAGTTATACAAGTGTGACTTGCAGACGTGACATATGCAAGCCTCTTGCATGAAGAATTCATGGCCCCAATTTACTCAAAGGTAAGAAACAGTGTGTCATAGTAGTTAGAGTTTTGGACTGGGACTCGGAAAATTTGGACTGTAATCCCCACTCAGACATGGGGTTTTCACTGGGTGACTTCAGGCCATTCACTGACTTTTAAGGTAACCAACCTCACAGGTTTGTTATGAGGATAAAATGAAGAGGAGGGGATTATGTAAGCTTCCCGGGTTGCTTATAGGAAAAAAAAGCAGCATATAATGATGCTGAATCAAATGAAAACATCCAACTGTATGCTTAGGTTTGTAACCTGAATTTAGACACCCCCTTGCATTTTTAGCTTAGTTTTTGTCATTAAATTCAGGTGTCTCTAAAGTTTTATTAGCAAACTCAGTATTAAGAATTCATTTTCCCAGCACAAATGTGTATGTAGGGCATCTAAATATAGATGTCTGATACTCCTGAAGCATCCAGACTTGGTTGAATGTACATAAATAAGACAACAACACTAAGCCAAGCAGAACCCAAGCAGATCATGGCAATATAAATTGCCCAGTGGGTTTATATGCCAACGTCATAGTTGCCCAGAAAAGCAAGACACACAACTGCTTTAAAGCAGGAATAGACAGACTTCAGGCTTGTGTGATCTTCCTATGACACTGGATATTCATCAGCCAAAACATAATATAAAAAAGATATAGATTGAAGATTTTGATTTTAAATACCAGAAGTGAACGGATCTCATTGTCTATAATCTTGTAAAATAGGTCAGTATTATCTTCCCTATATTGCAGATGGAAAATGAAACTGAGAATTAATAGCTTGCCTAAGGTTACCTTGTCAGTTCATGGAAGAATCAACATTTGAACTAGAGGCGTTCTGCTTTCTTGCACAGTCACTTGCCTTGCAACTGTAGGAATGTTTGTTTGGATATATATCCCAGTGGGAGCTACTCCCTAGTACTAAACTGGTGATTTAATTGCAGGCAAAGGTGTTGAAAGCTGTGCAACATGCTATAATTTACACTGAAAGTATCTAATTTATCAGCTTTTGCTGGCATACACAGATCTCCACATCAAAATACACTGCCTAGCTGTTTTTGATTTCAAAGCTCTAGGGCAGGGATTGTCTTTCTAGACATTTGGCTTTTAGTCCAATCAACATTCACAACTATAACAGTTAAGAATGACTGTTTCTGCTTATCCTGCTTGAAAACGAAATAGCTCAGTACTTTGTAAAGACTGAAAACTATTTGGAAACCAATAAACTCTTCTCAGAGATGGAAACTGAAGATTCAGGTGCACTTTCAGCCATGGGCTTGCTAAGTGGCTTTGGGGGCAAATATTCTACCACTCATCCAGTTCTCACGGAAATCAGATATGTGTGCCTAGGCTGCATCATGTCAGACTACTGGGAGTTTTAAGACTTTTTCTCCCTGTCCGAATAGCACAGGATAGCGCCCATTCCCTTTCTCTAAAATGGGATTAATTACATCAAGCAAAGGAAGTGTCAGATAAAGGCAAAGGGGAAAATATAATTCGTATGCAGAAATCACTAGTGGAATGCATTTATTCAACAGCTATTTTTTTGTAAAGCACGCTTCTTTTCATTATAATTTTGAGGATCAAATCGCATGTACGTTTGTCTATTTTCCTTTTTAGGAAGTGCGCGCGCGCGCGCGTTCCAAGACTTGGACGTGCGTCAACGCGATGAAAACGAGCAGGACGGCGTGGGGAGGGGGGATACCCGCTGCAGGAAAACCAACTGGGAGGTGCCCATGGAAGGAGGCTCCGATTACGGGACAGGCGCCCACAGGGGCACCGAGGCGAGGGGAAGGGTAGGAAGAGGCGGGGCCTCTCAAGGGAATCGTGCCCTCTCCCCTGTCACATTATAGGCTGTCTCCGCCCTCCCCCTCCGCCGTTCCCTCAGGAATGGCTCCGTCCGAGGGGGGCGGGTGGCTCCGCCTCCGAACCCGGAAGTGTGTGCGGAGGGAGGAGCATGGCGGTGGTTGTTGTTGTCACTCAGCAACTGTGAGGCGGGCGTGGTGGGGCCGAGGCGGGCGCGCGCCCGAGAGAGATGCGCCGAGTCGCTCCCGCCGCCCGCACTCGCGCCCGCGCCGTGCCTCTGTGCCCGCCCTCCTCCGCCAGCGCCTCCACCGCGGCAGGAAGAGCACCCGCTGAGAGGGAGCATGAGCGGCGCAGGGGCCCAGCCGCAGCCGACCCCCGGACCCGGGTCGAGCCCCGCGGGGCCCGGGGGCGACTCTGAGTCGGAGCCCCCTCCGTCGATGCTGAGCGTCGACTTGCCCGGTCTGGTGTCGCAGTTCGCGCGGAGCTTCGCGCTGGTTTTCCCCGTCTACGTTCTGGGCTACCTGGGGCTGAGCTTCAGCTGGGTCCTCATCGCCTTGCTCTGCCTCTTCTGGGTGCGAAGGCACAGAGGCGGAAAGAGCTCCCGCCTGGGCCGGGCGCTCGCTTTCCTGCAGGACGAGGAGCGGGCCGTGAGGCTCACCGTCTCCACCGGCGACCTGCCCGCCTGGGTGAGTGCGAGCGAGCGGTTGGCATCCGCCCCACCCCGGCTGCCCTACTCCACCCACAGGCCGTTTCTGCGCGTCTCCTGCTCAGCTCCCTTCGGCGGCCGCCTGTGGGGGGAGAGGTCAGCTCTCGGCTTCTTTATCCGCCACCCTCCGCCCCCATCAACGATGCTTAACTTTTGAGAGAAAAAGTGCTTTCCTTGCTTGCATAGCCTTTTTTACCACTTCTTTCTCCTCCCCTCTGGCGGGCATTACCTCCCTAATCCTACGTGCACTGAGGCTAGTCGTGGTCCTTATTCTGTGTCAAGACGCTCCTTCAAGGCTCCTAGGTTGGTATCCAAAGACATCCTGGGATTTAGCTCCTAAGGCGAGCTAATTCCCAGCCGACGCATGCCGAAACACGTTGCCTTCAAGCTCAGGCTTTTTCTTGGCGTTGGAGACGGGCCATTTGTGCGCCGACCCCAGGAAGGAAGCCTGATTGGACCGTAATCTTGAGCATACTCTAGAAGTAGCTTCTAGTTAACGCAGTGGGTGTGTTTGACCAGTTCTGATTCCTTATCTGCAGTCTTTCTCAACCTGGTACCCTCCCGATGTTTTCAACTTAAGCTTCCATCAGTTTGAGCCAGCACAGTGAATACTCAGGCATGATTGCAGTTGTTGTCCAGATCATCTGGAGGCCATCTGTTGTCTGAAAGCATACAAGCACCCCGGACCTGGCCTGTATATTTGTGGCAGTTCCTTCTCCCGTTCTTCACCTTTCGGGAGTGTGAGAGTGCAATTCTGTTGACCCAGAGGCAGGTACTTGTAAGCCTCCAAACTCAAAGGCACACAAGGATCTAGTGGCAGGAACAAGCAGCAGCAATTATTTATGCTGCTGCCACACCTCACACCCTACATTTTCTCTAGACATACACTTTTGGACATCTAGATTTTGTGCCAGGGAGCAAAGGAGGAGGCATAGATTGGAAATGGTGTAAATTTGCAGCCCCAGGTACCTTCCCTCCTAGCCCCCAGCATGCCCCCTTTCCCACCTTACAGCATCAGTTTCAGCCTCTGGGGGCAGGGGGCAGCCAATCCAGTTCTTTTTATACTAGTTGCAATTGGAACTCAAACTTCCAGAGTCCCAACTCTGGGATCTTAGAACTGAAGAATCCTATGGCTTCTCAAAGAGTGGCTGGAGGCCATAGGATTACACTCTTAGGATTCAAGAGGAGTTCTGGCAGTTGTAAGAATAAACATGCATAGGATTCTGCCTTTAGTTTGTTTTCTAGCTTCCAAAGAGCCTAATTAAAGTTTTCATATCCAGACGACTATTGAGGGATGTTTAATTCATTGAGAGCAGCGTTCTCCTAGTGATGTGACAGTTGCATCCTGACTAGTTCTGTTCTATTTGCTTCATAGTCCTGTGCCCAATAGGATCTGACATTAGTTTCTGAATCCTCAAGATATAGCAATACAGACTTTGTTCTTTTATCAGCTTGCATACCTTAGAGATGTTGTCTCTGCTTTATCTAAAGCTTTTGTTGAAGCTGGGAGGGTAAATAGCAGTTACTCTTAAAAGCACTGCAGTTGTTCATAAATGCATATTCATCAAGTGGTACCTGTTTTTCTCTGTCAGCTCATTATTACCACATTCTTTTCAGCCCTAGGAGTTTAGTTCTTTTAATTAAATAGTTGCTTCTATTCTAAATGAAAACCCTGCCTTTTAAATGCTCAATCTCCATTTGTAGGGATGTGAGGTACAAGAAAGTAATTTGTGGGTGTGTCTTTCTTCTGCTTATTAGGAACTTTAAATGTGAAAGGAAACCTTCAAGATTTCTCTTGTGGTTTTGTTCTTTTAAAAAATCTGCTGATTCAGCTTTAATAAACATATTTATTCACACTACCCTTAATTAAACAAGAAGGTTATTAATAAACTGTGATTTATTCAGATGAACTAGGGATGTTTTCAGTTGCAGGTCAGTTTGGAAGAAACCTTTGTGAAGGAAAAGTGTGGGTTAGTTTGTAAGAACTGCTTTAAGTTTTGAACATAGGCCATCATAGAAAGAGACACTAGAACTGGAATGAATTGATGTTTAGTGAACCGAAGAGCAGCGGAATGTTTGTGAACAGTAGTCCATGGTTGGTTGGTGGAGTATGTTTGTGCCATATATTTTAGACATGCATATATAGAAGGAAAGGTTATTTCTGTTAGTGCAAATGTTTGGTTAGGAACTCTGAATACAGAGGATCTCAGTGTTGGAAGCTATTCTTGGATCTCTAAGAAAATGTGTTTTGCAAGATAGGTCTATGTCTCCCCTGCCCCCAGATGGCAAGGGTCCCAGATTCTGTCCTTTAAAGTTGGATATCTCCTTTTCTCCCTTCTCTTAAATCTTGTTTCTTGCAGCCCTCCTCAATGTTATCAGTAACACCAATTAAATTGTATTTTGTAATACAAATAGTATCTTGCACTAGATAAGAAGAACAAGAACGCCACATCACCTAATAGTGTCGCCACATCACCTAATAGTGTCGGACTTCTACTCAGTTGCCCCTACAGCAGAATTCTGTTCCATCCAGGATGTGGAGGGGATCCTACTTGTAGCTTTCCTAACATTTTGGGGTTTATGTTCTTCAAAAAGTTGAGTGAAGTTAGAGTTCTTAAGATTTCGTTCCAGAATGATGAAAACTTTTTTCTCAGTTAATTTTCTTATGTTGAAAGACTCCATTGAAGCAGGACTATTTGTACAGAAGTAGAGTTGAACTGAGGGCCCTGTTTTCATGAATTTGTTTATATCCTGAAATAGGGCTTCATAGTCGGTACCTTGCCAGGGGTGGGGGATTAAAAAGTTGTAGATACGTATGAGGACAACTGTCTTGCTAAGGAAACCTCTGCCTTGCTGTGTTGTACAGCACAGAATAGGAAAATTGGAGAAACACTTCTTTATGTATCTTTAGATGACTGGACTGGCATTTTGCCCTGCTGGGAATGTGATCAGTAAAACTGCTGTACTGCACCATGGTGAAACAAGGAGTGCCAAAGCAGTTGTCTTGGAAGGGAAATGTCTTTCCTCCCCCCCCCCCCCCGCTCCCCCAGTTCAGTGAGGGCAAATAGATTTTAGCTCTTACTGAAAAGGTAGCAGAATCAGGCTGAGTAATGTGATGTCATAGCTTGGTTCATATGGGCTATTGATTGGGATCATTCAGGAAAGTATCTTGGGGTTGAGGGGGAAACGTAGCTGCAGCAGCTAAGATGAAACAAGACTTACAAATTTCTGTTAGGATTACTAAAGAAGATGCTGTGTGGAGGAAAATTTTTGCATCTCTGAAAGAGTGTTTTTAGCTCAAATTTTAGTGGCAAACGTCCCAGCTCCCAGGGATTGCCAGGCACTCTAGGGATGGTTCCTACCTTTCTTTATTGAATATTATTCTTCAAACATGTTGTTAAGCACATGTGACAAGGTATTGCAGGCACACGAGCGAGCAGGTGATCAGAGAATGTTTCATCCCTCTTCTACTCCCAACATGGAAACCAAACAAGCTGTCAGAGCAAGGAAGCCCCTATCTGCACCTAAGCTAGTACTTTTGTAGGCTTATTCACAAGGCTGTCCTCTTCCTCCATAAGTGTATTATTTTAGTTCTGCGCATACCATTTCTATTGCAGTGCTTCCTCTGTTCATCTTCCCAGTTTACCATTTGTTTTTCCTCCTCTGTGTGTACAAGTTTTTCACATACATGTTTATAGATGATACATGAAATACATGTATGCCCAGTTTCTGTCTATTATATATGAGGATACATTTCTATAAAACAGACTTTGAAATCAGGAACAGTGCTCATTATGGGTTAATAAAAGTGTCATCTAAGCTGAAACCACTGTTGGGAAGTTACAATAATAACATCTAAGCAGGTTTGAAGACCATTATATTGTCGTGGCTATATTGTTTGTTTTGGGTGATGGAAACTCAGTTACAAGCCTCTGTAAGTAGGCTTGGTCTGAATCCTATGCCTCGTAATAGTAAGACTTTACTGCAGCCCTTTGTACAAAGAATTCAGTCCTTTGTACTTAATTCATTCATCGACATGGTTGGAACTCTCTGTTGCTTGAATTATGTAGTCCTCCTGAAGTGGCTACTGGAATATTTATGCTAGAATTTATTTTAGAATCTGGATACTAAGAGTGCAGTTTGAGGCTATTGGGATAAATCAAACAGTGTGCATTTATGGAATTGATTGTTAGCCTTGTGCTGAGCTGCTACATTGACATATGATACTTGGTGGCAGCATCAGTGGTGTGCTGGGAAAGAATCAATATGCCTTTTTCATAGGTGCTTATTTGCTGTTTCAACAATTCTTTTGATCAGGCTATGATCTGTATCACTTGCTTAATAAGTCTTTTGTCATGGATTTATTTGAGTCTGTTGGGGGCGAGTAAAATAAGAACTGTGCAACCATGACAAGTTGTTTTGATCTAAAATAGCCTTTCTTAAATGTTCGGGACTGTATGTAGCAGGTTCTTTGTATAGTAAGATGAGGAAAATATGTATGTTGTTATCTGTCAAGTTGCTGTCAAGCTGCTTCTGAATTATGGCAGCCCTATGAATGAAAGCCAGCTTATTTTAAATTGTGTTTTGATACCACTTATATATTCAGTAAAATTGTAAGTTTGCATTAATGTCTAATTTATTTATGTATGGGTTTGTTTCTCTTTAGTAATGGTAAAAATGCTCAGTTGGCACTTCCTTCTACTAAGCATGATGTAACATCAGGAATCAAAACAAATTCATAGAGGAAAAATTTATCAGTGGCTGCTAGTTTGCATATGCTACCTTCCCTGCCCTTCAGATTCTGCACAGGCCTGGGGGACATGACCAGGCTGCAGCTGCATAGGCTGCAGCAGAAGGCACGCAGGCTATGTGCATGCTGCCCTGTGGGCATGCAAGGTGGAGAGGCTGTGTGAGTGCTTCTCCAGGGCTCATAGAGGCAAAGAGCCTTCTTCAGGATAGCACTAATCTGACAAGTGTCCC